TATATATATATATATATATGTAGAAATGATGCATACATGAAAAAAAGAAAATAGCGGCATTATGTCAGGCGGCGAAAATAGCGGCCTATTTGCTTATCATCTCTACGTTATCGACGCTTAGCGAGTTTGTCATTCACTTCAACATTCCCTTAACGATGTAAAATTAAATGTTAAAAATGTAAGTAAAGTTAACGATAACGAAACTGTCGTTAACTGGATTTAACGAGTTACATAATCGCACTGCTGGAGCCTTAATTGCGTAACAAAATGCTCATGTCACCATGTGATTCTAAAACTAAAAATTGTAAGAAAAATAAAATAAAAATAAAAAATACGCAGTCATAAATGGCCCATCTTTGAGATTTTCACTCATTTTCTCCATATTGACAGCAAACGGATGTCACTACGTGATTCTGCGTTTAAAAAACCATGCAAATTTTATGTGCCTGGCTTGGGAGGAAAAATCTACTTCCTTTTAATGCACTTTTTTGGGCGATTTCGAACTTTGTACCAAGATATCTCTTTTAGTAAACTAAAATAAAGTGCCAAATAAAGATAATTTTTTTATATAATTGGAATCTTTCGAATTTAAACTTAATCCAGAAGCTTAATCAGAAGATTGGATTATCTATTAAGGCAGAACCAATAATCTTATCTTAACTGTAAACATCGTCTCAAAATACTTGGCCAGTTTCGCTACTGTTCCTCGCTTTAAACATTTATTTAAAACGCGAGACGCGAGACGCTACCACGCTTTTAATTTACCGATGCGTTTATAACTCGGACAAATTAATCGTCAAAAAATGAACGATTATTGCTAGAGAAGTGACACGCGCTGCTATTGACCGTATCGGAAAACGTTTGCTACGTTTGAAATAATATTTAATTTTACAACCGAGTTACAAGAGAATGTCGGTTATGTTTACAATCGAACCGTGCATATTGTTATTGTGGCATAAAATAGATACACTTTGATTACAGTGATAACGCTTATTGCGATAATTCTATTCGTATATCGTAATTCTATCTCTTTCTTATAGCGCGTGGACATTTAAGACATTTCCACACACGAGACCGACATTCTATATATATATAATACGTATATACTCCTAAAGGACAGCTGAAGAAAAGAACAGTTCTTAACGTGCATCGTAGTGAGCGACACGACCGGTTCACCTTCCAGTCGGCGATACGCTAAGAGAGAACGGTAGAAGAACGCTAGAAGAAAACCAATTGAAAATGGCTACGCCTGTATATAAATAATTCTTCTATCAAATTTACGAAATTTCTCAGACTATAAAAATTCACGTGAAACAACAGTGGAAAAACGTCGCACACAGAATTACAAGAGTGAATGTTTGATTCGAGTCGTAAAGTAGATTCTTAATCCGTACGAGTGAATGTTTCAATCGAACAGAGCGAATTCGTTTTAATAACACGGTGGAATATGTCAGATTCGAAGTGGAGAATTCTCAGTTACTCAATTTATATGAGTGAAAAACTCGAATTCTATTGAACTATTTCAGGCGAGATTAAGACAAATATATTTCAGTGATGATTAGAATGACGTTTCAATGAAATGCTTCGGGCAGATTTGGCTCTACAATTTGAAATAAAATATTTACTTGACAAGTCAAAATGAAAAATTTTCCAGTTACTCAATTTGTATAAGTGAGAAATTCCTTTAATTCTAGTAACTATTTCAGGGGAGATCAGAGGATACTCGTTTCAGCGATGATTCAGAATGACGTTTTAGTGAGATGTTTTAGGTAGATTTGGCTCTGCGATTTAAAAAAAAATATTTACTTGACGATTCAAAATGAAGAATTTTCCAAATATTCAATTTGTATGAGTGAGAAATTCCTCGAATTCTATTTCAAGCGATCAGAGCAAATATGTTTCAGTGACGATTCAGAATGACGTTTCAGTGAAATATTTCAGATTTAGCTCCGCGATTTAAAATAAAAATATTCATTTAAAAATTCAGAGTGACGAATTTTCCAATTACTCAATTTGTACGAGTGAGAAATTTCTCGAATTTTAGTAACTATTTCAAGCGACCAGAATAAATGTGTTTCAAAATAAATGAGACGATTCAAAATGATATTTTAATAAGATGTTTCGGTCAGATTTGACTCTGCGATTTAGAATAAAAACATTCACTCGATGATTATCTCTGAGTGATAATATTCGGTCAATTTATATGAGTGAGAGTTCATTAGATAATAATTTTTATCAGTATCTGTTTGATGTTGAAGGAGAAAGAACGACTATACAACCCAAGTGAGTGGAGTAAGCGTTATGCGTCCCAGGAATTATTGGATTATTTCTGGAAATTCTGCGCGGAAGGTAACGTGTATTATGACGATTTCCGCACGAAATAATTTATATAAATTTTTCGAAGTAACTGTCGCGAGTAAAAAATTTATTGTAGTTTGCCAGATACTGATAGTCTCATAAAATTTAGATAACTATTAGGCGTCGCGACGATAAAATATGTCCAGTGCAATTTAATCATTGAAAGTAACAGTTCTTTTTTGTTGTTACAGCCACGGAAAAGGCCCGGAAAACCATCAAGTGCGAACTTAACGTACCGTATGGGAAGACAGAACGCACAAAGTATGATATTTACGGCACCGATTTGCCTAAAGGTATGTGTGTGAATAATAATAATTCAATTAACAAGAAGTGGGACAAATTCTACAAAAGAAGGGAAAAAAAGAAAGAGAAAGAAAAAAAAAAGAGAAGAGAGAAAGACGAGAAATATATCTGCAAAATTCGCATTCATAGACCAATTGTATAGTTTATTCTATTATACGAATCCCCTTGTGCAGAAATCTATTTTTTAAATAATGCAGAATCCACTCGCAAGGTTGGAACAATCACTCGTGAGATGATTATATCATCTCTAGAATATACATGCATATCTAGAACGCATGTCAACTCTAGAATATATATGCATATCTAAAATATACATGTGTTTGATACGACTTTTTTTCAAGTACTCTATTTCAACATGCAATGCGTTTCCAAGGACGATCGTATCGTTTCAATTTGCAAATAAAATCTACGCATATCAGGAAGATCTAATATTCTATGCAGCGACAAACATGATAAATGTTTATGCAGTATGGTTACTGTACAAAAACAATAATAATTTATGTAGACATGTAGTAAAATTGCATACAGCTTTCTGAAAGGAATATTTGTAACTGCTGTTACAAATATTAATAATAATAATGAGAGTATTAATTTATAAATAATTATATTATATATAATTACGTCGTATATAAATTAGATCAACATATAAATAAATAATTAGTATATATAGTATAGTATAGTATAATTATTTTATATAGTATATATAAAATAATTAGTATGTATAGTATTTACTTAATAATAACTTTATTTACAAAAGAAAAGAAAAAATCAAACTCTATATGGTAAGAATGATTCAGAATACATACCTTGATAGCACAATCTTTCAAAGCCGTCCCAAAGACGTTCCCATTCTGAAAACTTCTAAATGTCCATATAAGTCTCTTGAAGGATATGCCTTGAAGATTTTGTACTATTTAGAGTATCTTTGCAATACAAAGTAAACCATATCTATGATACAATACAGAAATGAAAGAATGCAGCCAATAAAACAACATTATGGTTTCTACTACTATCTTACCCGAAAAATTACAATAATTAATAAAGTAAAATTGAAAATTATTGAAAATAAAGCTTCTGTATTCCGGTTGCGACTATCTTGATTTATGATGTCAAAAGCGAGACGAAAAAAACTTTAGAACTATTTTACAGATGTGCCTTTAATTGCAAGTGTTATTTTACGAGTATACTTTTTATAACGACCTACACAAAAATTTGTATCGTGTATTTTCTTGCCTCTGACGTCATCAATCGAGAGTTGCGCAGTGAGGGAACTTTAAGTTATTTAAATAGTTATTTAAATGGGTTATTTAATGATGAATTCGATAGCATTAATGTATACCAGTGTATATTAAAGTTGATTCATATATATATGTATATATATATATATATATATATATATATATATATATATATATATATATATATATATATA